TGCACGCCTCCTGTGATAACCTTTGACAGTCCAGATACCTGCACACTGCTCCCTTATCATCTTGGGATATACCCTGATGTGTCTACAGTGAAAAAGTTAAATATGTTAAAGCTGAAATTGTTTATTCTTTGGTAATGATCTCATTTTGTTTTTCGCATAAGATGGGTAATGAACTATGATTTACTTTGCCAAGCCTTCAAATAGTATTTACTCATTATTTCTCCTGCTCTAAGGATCATGATTATTGTATCATTCTAGTTAATCATCCAGTTAGACCACTTGGTAGAGTCCTTAAAATTCATTAGAATGTCATTCCTAAACAGATAGTGTTATTATGTAATGAACTAGGTAATGTAGTTTAACTCAAATGTGACTATTTTAAGAAGTTTTTGAGGATTGCTGAAAGGTTGCTTACCTTGAGAAAGCTGTTGGTTGTTTTGTAAAGTGGGTAATGATTCTGTCTGTAAGATGGCGGTACCCTTTCAATGAGTTCCATGAATCTCTTTGGTTCCATATCTGGATCTGCTGCTACATTGAATAGATATGCATCCCACAGTTCTGCAACCCTGCAATTGCTAGCTTCTGTGGTATGGTTTACATGAGAGTTTGATGCTACATATGCTGAAATTATGCTTTCCATAGTCACCAACTCCATGCTAGATGACATTAACTCTGCTCCACTTTCTGGAAGAAGAAAATCCTCCACTTGGGAGAAGTGTAGAAGTGAAGTAATTTGTTCTTGTAACTTTGCCTTGCTTTCAGTCCTCAGCCCCAATTCAAGAGATCTAGAAAGCAAGGCAAAATAAAACCCCACTGGAATCACTTTCCTAGCCTTATCACCCACTGGAAGAAGATCAACAACTCCTTGTAGAATCACTGAAGCTTTGCTATTCGTGCCACCTTCCCCAATCTTGTCACCGGAGCTCTCCCAAAATTGGCGTGATTTTTTGGAGAGCACCCATTTATTTGCATAGAAAACAATGATTGGACTCACATACTTCTCCTTCATTCCTTGTTTCCTTAAAGACCCTATAACCCTTTTGAAAAAATCAAAGGGTAGAGCAATCAGATCCCTCATCCACAGGTCCTGGCTCACAGCATCCTTCATTATTTCACAGCTCCAAGCTTGGGAAGCCAACTCTTCCACTGTCACAACTGGGGTGTCTCTGCTTCTTTCTGGATCGAGCACCTCCATGCATGCCATGAAGGCAAGAGATTCAATGCAGCGACTCACTATTAGCAGATATTCAGACCAAGGAAGCAGCATCTGGCACCTTTGAAGTGCAATAAGGGTGTCATCCCAACTTTGCAACACCACTTGATTCAGATAAAGATCAAACCGTTCACAAAGATTGCCTGCACAATGATCTTCGGTCATTTCAAGAAACTCTGCTGCACACCTTAGTGCCACAACATTAAAAGGGTCAATCAACGTGGAGGATCCATAAATGAACATGGCAATCATCTCAAAGGTTTCTGGTCCTCCAGGAAATGTTTCCGGAAGCTCAACCTCATATGTATCTTTTAATTTCTTCTTGAAGTATCCACTTTTTGAAGTCAAAGGAAACTGGAATAAGCACAACAGGTAAATAAATAATTAAGGTTAGGTAGTCAGCTATGTGAAACATTGTTGGATTCCAATATTGTCAAACTTACTTTATGCAGGTTGAACATCTTGTCTTTAACTCGAACACGGACAGAGACAGGTAAACCAGTCTGTTGGCTCCTGTAACAAAAAATCGAATTGCATTAGACAAACTGCAGAAATAACAACACGTGGAAATGGAATGATCCATGATATGTATATATATCTTACCATGTGATGACCTTGATCTTGAGCAAGGCTCCAATGTTAGGTGAAGAAAAAGGACTTGAAGCAACAGAATAATCTTTTGGACTCACAACCTCCATTTTTAGTGCTACTTCTGATGTGGGTGTTACCTATTCTAGCTGTAACTGAACAAAAACATCTGATTCTTAAATGCTTAATTATCTGTTGAGGAACTGGAGGAGCAGCAGGGTTCAGATGTTAAGAAAATAAAAGTAGTGGTGATGAATTGAAGTGAGATTTGAGGAGTTTGTCCCCAACACATTCTCTCAAGCATATATTATTCAACTTGGTGCAGTCAAAGTCAACATGCACACGAGTGAAACTTGAAATCCAAATTTTAAGGCTTCAAAAACGTTCTTGAATGTTGGGAACTTGAATTCTTGGGGCTGGAAACTTGGCTGCCTCGGCCAATAGAATAGGGTGACTTTTCATGCATCCTAACATTACAAACTTGCACTTCAAGTTTATGTATGTACAGCCATAAAATCTTACTACTAAAATTCAGCATTATTATGTTAACTCAAATTAGTTAATATTTAGCAGATGAATTAACCAAATGATATTGATAGTTTTGGTAAGGGTAAATATTTAAAAGACAATTTCTATAAACCCTAATAACACTTAACTGATTAAAATACATTGTCTCATGTATGAAATCACTATATATCTAAAAAAAATAGTACTTTAGTAATTATTTTTAAAAACAGTTGAAATGATGTTGTAATTTTATCTAACAAAACCCTATTTTAAAAAATATTATTTTAGACAAATCCAAGGGCTGGAACTTTGAGGGTGGATTGGCTTTTGTCAAAGTTGAGGCCTTGATTGATGGTTGATGATGCATTTGGGGAAATGATGGGAGGAAACAGTTTACACAAGTTACGTTGGATTTGGTTTAGGTTTGATAAAGAAGGTACAAAAGGGTTTATTGGGAAAAAGAAATGTAGGGGTATGAAATAAATGGGGAAGGAAATGATTGGATTAAAAAAATGGAAAGGGAAGAAGAAGACGGTGATGGTGATGGTGGTGGTGAAGGTGAAGTGCATGTGAAGTTTTGTGATTCCTTTATGTGCTCTTGCTAACGCCCAAGACGGCACGGCTACTCAAAATTATTGCCTTTTTCTTGCTTTCAACCATCCCAATATTCTACCTTTTCACTCCCTTTCAAAACTACCTTGCAAAATTCCACATTTTCTGGGTCTTGTTTTGTTTACTAATAGTATAATGTTCTTTTTCTGTTTTTTTACATTTTAATCGCATGGACTAAAATAAGAAATCAAATAAACAAAGATAACATATGGAAGGATTTTACAATGCACTAATCTAACCTAAGTTTGTGCATCTATGCACCCTTATAGTATTTTTAATCTTTACCTTCTTACTAACTTTTGGTCCTTCATTGTGTCTTTTTTTTTTTTTTCATGTTTTAGATTCTTTTCTATTTTCATATCTCATTCTACTGAATATATAAAACACGAGTTACAACTCCTTGAGGCTGCCACAACTGGGACTATATATCATGCGTGGTGTTTCTTGCACACGTGTACTTGTTATTATCATATTGGTGAAACTTATATGGCTATTGATTGGTCAAGTTCAACGAATAAACAAATCATGATTTGTATTTTATTATGTGTTCAAACGAGATTGTGATCTGTAAGCTTTTCTCCTAGTTGTCGTTGTTATCAATTGTGCATTTTATTGTTGTGATTTCCACGTCATTGTATTTTGACAATATAGCTTCAAATCTACATTGTATTTTGCTTTGCATTATTTCTCAACTTGCTGTAAAAGTTAATACACAATTGCTGACTGGGTGGGTAGAATGGTAAAAACCATATTTATTAATTACTTGTGATTTATTTGACTAGTGTTATTTAGGTTTCAGTGTAGCTAATTAATGATATGGTTTTGCTAAACATAATGACTAATAAAGTTATTTTTTTTATGCATAAAGTTAGTAATTAAACTCCAACCAATGAACGAGTTTAAAAGGGAAAATTTGTTAAGAATAGAAACATTTGACTCATCATATACTATTGTTGCATGTGTGTGATTCTTATGGTGTTTTTAATATAATTGAGTCTTACATCAAAAGGTTGGCTAGCTAATCCCACAGAAATTTGATGAAGCTGGATTTTGGTTTTCTATTCTTAGAAATCAAGCTATCATTTAGCAAAGCTGTTCATACACATGCACACAACTGCAACTTTTAATTAATATTACATCTCTCATGTGTCTCTTTGTGTATCAACAAAAAATAATCTCTCTCTATATAGGAGGGTACATGTAGGCTTTGAGTGCATCCATGACTTTGTAAAATAAATAAATAAATAAATAAATAAATAAATAAATATATATATATATATATATAGAGAGAGAGAGAGAGAGAGATTTGAACTGATGTTTCTAATTTTTCAACTCTTTGTGCTTGGATTTAATATTTATAGTTTTACATGTATGATGATAATAATAACTTTTTATTTGTTACATAAACACACTCATAATTTGCCTACGAAGGCCTTATTATTATTTTGTCGCTAGTAAATACCAAGTAATACGACTAACCAAATCTTTGAAGGAGATTTGTGCTTAATGTCAATATTTTTATAGTTATTTTAAAATATGTATTTTTGTGGAATAATTTTCCATTTAAAAAAAATGCTTTGAATACCATGGAGTTTACTAAAATTATATAGTAATTATATTAAATTTATTGAAAAATATACAAATTTGACTAAATTTCACTTTTCAATTTTGTTACTCGTCACATATCTCAGCTAAACTTGCAAATAGATAAACGTGAAGAAAAAAAAAACTAGAGAACTAATATACCTAGATAATTGAATAAGTTGATAACTTTTTGTATTTTCTATGTATGTCATGTTCCTTAGTTTATTTTCAGGCTGTATTCAGATTGTAATTTTTACTACTTAAGGTGGTGAATTCATCGAAAGTCTCCTAACTCTTTGAATGTTTTGAAGCAAATAAAAAAGAATATGGGAGAAATAAATGAGGAAACGAGATGAAAAATCTAAAGGTAGATTGACACTTTCTCCAAACAGAATCATCAATGGGGTGAGTCCCCTGAGGAAGTTATGTACTATACAGATATGCTGAAACTGGAGCGGAAATGCATGTACCACAAAGTATCACCTTGTAATGAAGTCTATCCATTTATTGGCTTTGGTTCTTCATCATTGTTGAGTTCATAAAAGAAAGGATCCTTAAGGAGATCAGTGGCCGAAGGTCTTGCCCTTGGTTGTGCTATGCACTTCTCAATGAATTCCTTCACCTCAGGTTCTGTGACTTTGTTCAAGGCCTGAGGCTTAATTCCCATAGTCACCTTTTTGTATATCTTTGCCACACTGTCACATTCGCTGTAGGGTATCTCCATTGTTACCATTTCAAGCAAACACATTCCAAAAGAGTATATGTCCACCATTTCAGTGTAATCTTCCTCATACAGCTCCGGTGCCATGTACTCCGGCGTCCCTAAAATTGAATGTGCAGCATGGTTCCGTCCCACTACTGCAGCCAATCCAAGATCCCCAATTTTCACCTATAAAAACCCAAGATAAAAAATCAAGGAACTGTATATTTTCATTCTCACATTTTAGTTTTCAAAATCACTTTCTAAAACAATTTCACATTATTCAGTAATCAGTTTCTCATCCAAAGTCTATTAAATTTCAAAAAACTGTTTTTATAACAAGTATTCTAAAATTAGACATCAAAACAGTTGAGAAATTAAATTGCGTTTTCTTTTTTGTTCTCTATTTGTTTAACATCTTCTTTAACACCCTCTGTTCCATATGTGTTGTTGGACCATTCTCCCCAAACTGTAAGGATAACCTTGTCTGATTTTAAAAACTAGGCATGCACGTAAAGTAACACTAGCTATATCAGAAAAACTAAACCGCATTTTCATTTAACCTATGATAAAGAGAAGAACTGCATAAGTTTGGCATGACTGTGTTTCATTTCTTGATCAATCATGGTTTCAATAGCATGAGAATAATAAACAAAAGCAAATAACCTGGCCAATGTTGCCGTTAACAAAGATGTTGCTGCAATTGAGATCCCTGTGAATGATGCAGGGGTCATGCGTATGAAGATACTCCAACCCCTCAAGGACCTGTTTGGACCACTTCTTGAAGGCCTTAATGGAGACATGACGGTGCTTCTTGCGGTAATCCCTGAGGTTCCCGGAAGTGCAAATCTCAGTGATGAAATTGATGTTATGGCGTTCCTCATCTTTCCACACACTGTAACAGACGATGATGTATTTGTTGCTGAGGGTTCTGAGCAACTCAACCTCAGAATGAAGGCGGTTGATGAGGACAGGGTCTTCGCTGAAATTCCTCAGCCGAACCTGATTCCACGCCACTTCAATTCCTTCCTCTTGATCAAAAGCTCTGTAAACCTTCTTCACAGCTCCACAACCAAGAAGATCGTTGTAACGCCCAAACCTCCCTGTTGGATCAACCTCCACGAAAGCTTCCACTTCGGCGTCGCAATTGTTCGACTTCTCTGCAGGCATTTTCAATCTCTCTCCTACACTAAAAACTAAACTAAAGGAAATATAATCATGAATGTGAATTATTGCATCACTGGTTCAATAATTTTCCATAACCCCACTTTTTCCCCCTATGTCTGTTCATTACATCAGTTACTTCTTTGTACAATATCTTTTACTGTTGTTATGCATGAAATAAAAAAAGGAATAATGATTTGATGCGTGAGTAGAAAAGATTACCTCAACAGGTAGCGATACGGGAATTGGGAATGTGGAACCTGGAACTGAAACCCTGAATGGAAGTGTAGAGATTAAATAGGCGAGAGAAGGGGGATGGTGGTGGAATTTGTTAGAACTGGAATTGGATGAGGTGGCAAATGTTGAGGTCATTTACTTTTTATTTTTTATTTTTTATTTCGTGCTTTTGAGATCCTTGCCATGACAAAATCGTAATGTAACGAGAATCACTGCATCTGGATTCTGGACTTGTTTTCTTACTTTCACGAGAAGAATGGGGAAACACTGCACAAACAACTAAAGTTTCAGGCGAAGCCCGTGCTCAAGTACCTACCAATCACCAACACTCCCCATTATCTGAATCTTCCAACATTGTCTTCAACAACCCATTAATCACCATTCTTCCAAATAATCTGTTTGCAAATACCACTCGCCCTATGCAAATTGCACAATATCTACCGGATCTTGAGCATCTTTTTTTCAGGTATTCAAAAACTTGTCTAATAACATTATTTTCATTCTCCATCAAACACACTCATCATGTGCTATGACACGCGGTGCAATATGGTTCTAAGATGCTATATTGGAAAATGAGGCTAAAACGTAAGAGTTGAATCAACGTATTTAACAGGTAAATAACCTTGATGATGACATGTCTAATAGTCAAATGCTTCAATAGGAATTGTTTTGATCCATTGAATTTCTTGTTCTTTTTATGGAGCAACATTGTAGCCTTGTAAGGTTGCCAGGGTGTGTGTTAATGCTTTGATTTGATCCTTTGAATTTCTTGTTCTTTTTATTCAGCAAAATTTTAGTCTTGTAATTTTGTCAGGGTGTGTTAATACTTTTTGCAAGTCTACGCGTCCACAAAACAACAATAACCGGAATGCATCTTATTGGTCCTATGCATACGATAATCATTGGTGCAGCCGTTTACTAAAATTACAAAAGTCTCTTCAAAAATAAAATTTGGTTTGAATACAATCATCAAATTCATTTCATTACTCATTATCGCATATACTCGAGGCTTGCGGCGCAATATAGCTTTAAGATGATTTATTAAGGATCAATTGACAAAAATATTCATCAATGCATTTTTTTGACAGATATATCAACTTATTGACTACATGTCTTACAAATTAATGAAAAGATGGATAAATAAGCAACTGATAACCTCGAACGCGTTACTGACTTGATAAATGGAACAACACCTCTCAATCAGTGGCTCCCATGGCTTTCTTTGCCAGACACACTTTCTCTTCACCATTGTAAAACACTCTATCTCCTGCAAGTTGTCCCCTAAATGAATGACATCTGCTACGGAAAACACCTTTTCTTTGGTTTTATTGATTGTTTATTTTATTTAGAGCAAGTAAATTCAATTGATGAACTGGAAATATATTTGTACAATGTATATACATCACATGCAGTCAAGTCCTGCTCGACATACCCATCATCTGATAATCGCTGTAAAAGGTCATATCATAAAAATAAGCATGAAACTGCTATTCACACCCATTCATCAGTGTCATGTGAGACTTGGCTACATGACTCGCAACTGCAGAGCTATGCTAAAAGCAGAAAGAACCTACTTTAAGCAGAGAGAGACTCATTATTCAATCAGAACGAAACTGATCAAATAAACAAAAAGATGAGAGAGAAACTTCATAATTAATTCAATATACAACAATGCCTTAGGCATAGAATAGAGGTATTGACTGAAGAACTTTCATCAAGAAGATTTGGCGCATAGAAAGTAATAAAAAAGTAAGGCTATAACAAAAAGAATAAAAAATCTAAGCTGAGATTACAAAATTCAGTATGCGAAGTCTATTATTCTCAGACTGTTCTTTCTCTCCAAATTTATATGGCAGTACAATTTAAACACATTATCAATGGGAGGGGGGCACTTACAGCATGGCCACTTTATCATGGTTTTAGAATGTTAAAACATATCACCAGGGAGGATTGGAGCCCTCTCTAACTGATGGAGACCTGGAAACCATGCTCCCATCTCTACCAACCCTTGACACACTTCTACTAACAGTTCTAGGAGTAGCCAAGGCAGGAGTAGAACCGCGGTAACTTGCCCGAAGTGTCTCATCAACAGAAGATGAGGACTTGGCAAATGCGTTCCTTACAAACTTCTGAGCAGCAGGAGACAGCATCCGCATGCTTGGGCTAGCACTACCGCCTCTAACCTGTGAGGCCAATGGGGGCTTATGAAACATCTTTGACCTTTCCCTCAGCTTCCGTGCAGCCTCCCTGGAAAGTGCATGTGCCTTAGCATCTCGCGCCGGTGCAGAAGGAATCTTATAATGAGGTCCATCAGCACTACCGCCAATATCAAGTGGTGTATCCTCCTGGTCCAACCTCAATGGAGTCCCCTCAATTTCTCCCCAAGTAATAAATGGGGATTCGTCCACACCCGGTGCAGGGGATGGTGTCTTAACAAAGCTATAACCATTATCAGCTTTCTTCCCAGATTCCAAATAAAATGGATTCGGAGTCTTCCTCAAATCCTCCAAATCATACTTCTGTAACTTATCCCCATCTCTGAGAGACATGGGGGCCGGTGTAGCACCAGCAACAGGCGTATAAAGCACCTCCACAGTTCCATCATCTTTCGGCCTAGAATCCATTATTTTACCATAAAACCTAGTGTTCCCACGATTGATCTCTTTTGTGGCAACTTTCATTCTAACAGCCATCTCCTCCTCAGTTAAGGGAACCTCACCTCGATCAGCGGGATGATACATTAACAAATTTTTGGCAGTGTAATTCCACCCTTCAAGGGTACTCGGCGGCTGATAAGAGGTTCCATAACCATCAGTAATCCTATTCCTCTTCACATCCTCAATACACTTCACATCCTCATTCAAATACCCAAACTTCTCTTTCCTCTTCCTATTCACTTTCTCTAAAATCTTGGAAAAGCTATGATTGTCCTCACTGGTATACCTCATAAGAAATTGATCGAGACCAAGCGACGTATCAACCCCACCATCATTATTCTCCCCCTCTTTAGCCTCGGGAGCAGTGAAAAGTGGCGTTTGGGGAGGCTTTCCGTCAAATTCATCCAAAGGTGTGAAATTTCTAACGAAGGTGGAACCGGGCGTGTGAGAGGTGGTTCTGTAAGTATCGTTGGGATTGGTTACCTTTGATGCGCCAGCGCGGCGTTCAAGGATCTTCAATTGTGCCTCTCGAATGACGACGGGGTCGCCGGTTTTTATGGCTTCGAGCCAGTCTAGGCGGTCGCGGAGCTTCGAGATGTCGGGGAAGTAGTCGCGCTCGATGATCTTCTCCAACGCCTCCACGTAAGTGTCCTCGTCCAGAACCCTAGGGTTCTTCGCACACGACGACGACGATGATGGATCGTTAGGGTTTTGCGCCGATACCTGCGAAATCGAAGGAGACGGCGACGATATATGGAGCGGCGAGTGTCCTGGGGATTGAAGCATTTTGCTGAGATAAAGAGAACGTTTTGATTCAATGGATTGGTGATGGCAAGTTCAGAATTTGTAAGGGTTGGGATTTGATGGTTTTGAGTGTAAGAAGTTTCTCAAGTTCGACACCAAAAGGAAACGATTTCCGGACTTGGAACACCGTGTTATTTTACTTCGTAAACAAATCAATCAATATTTATCTTTTCAATCCTCGAAAAAAATAAAAATAAAATTTACTCTTTATCCACTATAACTTTAAATTGTTTTTAATACCTAATTTTCTAGGTATGTTGAATACAAAAATTGTTTATTTAAATAGTGCTAAACTATATAATATTTTTTTCATATAACTAATATTTAGAATTAAAATTATAATAAATACTTTGTTAGTGGATTAGGAAATAAGTTATTTGAGGATAATTTTTGTCAAATTATTTTCTTTAATAAATTAGATGAAAAGGTTTAAAATTTTAAAATTATAAATGAAAATTAAACATTTTATTTATTGAAAATTATCATATCTCTTAAATATGACCTTTTTCTTTTAAATTATCTATCTTTTTCTCTAAGTTCACGAGTTATTTATTATCTTTTCTAAATGAAAATATATAAGATAAAAGGTAGTAGATTAATTCTATTTTATCATAATTTTAATACGAGTAAGTTTTGTTTTCCAATCTTAAATTCTTTATTTTTTGTATTTCTTGTACAACTAGCATGTAGAACTTTATTAGTATTAATTTAACCTAATTCAACTATTAAATCTCCATCTCTTCAATTATCAATGAAGTTTTGAATTTTTTATTGGTCACAAACTTATGCGAAAACATTCTATAATAAATATGAGACTATGTCTTCGATTAAAATCATTGATTCGTAATAAAAAATATTTTTTCAATAAAATAGAAAATCAATTATTTTATGAATAATAAAACTACTTTCAAAAATTTTAAACACAAAATTTTTATAAATATAACTATCAAATTATAATTTCTTTTTGGAAAAAATTACTAAGTGCACGTTTTTTTAATTTTAAATTGTTTAATAATTTATTAAATAAATTTAATTTAAGTTAACATTTGTATTGACATTACATTATTAAAAATGTTCGAATTTGTCCATAATAATTAGGATGCATAAACATCCAGTTAATTTTAAAATATTGATTAATAAAACTTAATTTGTTCATATCTCATGCATGAAATACACATCCAAAGAAATAATATTGATGATATCAAATTGAATTAATGAAGAAAATTTAAGTTTTTTTCTCACTCTTTAAGTTGTACTATGACAACGAGGTGGGGCGGGTTTTGTCTCTCCTATTCATGTTCCCGACTTTTTTAATCATCATGTTCCCACCGTCGATCCTTATTGGAGTTAGAAATTAAGTCTCCATTCCCATCTCCGCAGTTTGGGTTCCCTGCCCCTCCGTTCACGCCAGTTCTCGATCTATATTATTTTAAAAAAGATAATTACATTTATAATAAATTAATTTTATTATCTATTTTTTATATATAACTAAATTTTTATAATTATTATTAATTAAATATACATTTTTATTTACTATATTTATGTTAAAATATATATGTAAAAGAAATATTTAATCATTTTTTATTTATAATATTATTATTATTATAACATTGTATTGAAATATTTGGATACTTGTAACATTATTATTATAATACTGTATTCAAACATTTAATTTTATATATAAATTAATTCATTTTTAAGTTGTCATCTAAAAATATGAAATATATAGTTTATAAGAAAATATTTAATAAGTTAATTCTTATTCAATTAATTCGAAGTAATAAAAGTTTAAATTATCAATTTCTTTAATCCTTTAAAATACAATTATTTTATTAAGATAAAATTTGATATATGATAAATAAGAATAATAAGATAAAAAAAATATGACATAATAAAACTTAATAAATATAAATTATAAATAAAATAATATTAGTTACTACTAAGATTTATGTAAAATATTTAGAAAAAGATAAAGAATAAAAAAATTTAACTTTGTGTTTATCAAATCGGTTGAAAAGATTGAAAAAAAAAACAAATTGATAAGAGAGATTAAGGAAATGTGAAAAACCGCAAGGTAAGAGAGAGAATAATGTAATAAATTAATTGATATAAAAAATTAAAAAAGACAAAAAAATTAAAAAGTGGGTAGAAGAAAAATAAAAATTGGTGAAATATAAAAAAATGACCTTGTATGTAATAGAAAAAGAAAAAGAAATACTTTTAAAATATTAATATTTTAAAATTTAAATTTAAATATAAAGTCGGGATAGGGACGGGGACGAGTCGGGGTCGGGGTGGGGATTACATTACTCTTCCCGCCCCGCCTCCGCCCGGTCAACTCTAGTTTTCCCAGTCAAACTCGGAGCGGGAATGGGTCGATCCCCACGGATACGGGTTTAATTGACATGCCTAAATCCTAGCATATAAAACTCTTAACTTATTTACAAAAATTAAAGACTAATTAAAATAACTTATTAGTATTAAATATAGTTTTGAAAACAAAACACATTTTTAAAAGTTGAAGTTGAAATAAATTTTAATTAAATTCTAAAACACCTTTATATTAATTTTCAAAACCATTTTCTTTGTGAATTTAAATTAATTTATAAAAAGGACTCTCCCTACTTTTTAGTTATGTTAAGAAAATAAAAAATTGTCCCTTTTCCACGTGATACTAAAGTTTTTCTATACACAGTTTGCTTTATATATTACGTTGCCTTTAACACTTCTCACTTGATTATTATTATTAAGCACACAAAACATTATTATTATTATTATTATTATTATTATTATTATTATTATTATTATTTCTAAATAACATTAGTTCGAAAGTAATATTCAATACTCATCCTAGATTTCAAAAGTTGTTGCCTATTATTTCTATTTAAAACCAACAAATATTTAGTGTACCCCACAGAAAATTATTTTACATAGAAACAAAATATAAAAAAATTTAGAAATTACTTAACTAATAAAATTTATTTGTATAATAAAAATATAAATAAGCATACAATTTTTAAAATTTCATTTGAAAAAAACCGCAAATGATTTCAATAAATAAAAAATAATTTTATGTAACTTGTAAATATTCTAAGAGTTTGACATGAATTAAAAAGTGATTGTACAACATTTTCTAGCACAATAAAAAAAATTATTTCATAAACGAGAGTTTTAATATTTTCCAAAACTCTTTTATTGTTGATACCTAGGTCTAAGAAAGAGTAGTTCATAATTTTAAAAAATGAAACTAACATAATCAAATATTAAAATTTAAGAATAAAATTTAAATATATATAATATAAAAAATATTAAACCAATTATTAAAAGGAAGTATTAACTACAAAATAATGAAATATAATTATATACTATCCTTGAAAAAGGATTACATATATGGAAATTTTCTCATGCACATATTCATTATTTAATTACTCAACCAACTAGGTTTTATTTATTTACATAGCAAAATTTTCTTTTAAGTTGAGAACGTGGTAGCATGTTTTTTTTTTAAATCATTTAGAATTCGATTTTTAGTACAGATGAATTTTAAATTGGTTTTTCTTTTTAATTTTTGTTTATTTTGTTTTGAAAGAAAAACTAAGTATATATATAATATTATAATATTTTATTTAAAATTTATAGTTTTAAATTATAGTTTTAAAATGATTTATATATTTATTAGATTAATAATATATTTAGATTTAAGGTTGAAAGTAGTAAAATAAATTTTTTTAAATATATTATTAAATATTATATTTATGTTTTATTTGTATGATTATTTTTTTTAATTCTTTGATTTATTTGATATTGTAATATTTTTTTAGAAATTAATAATAAATTAGGAGGATAATAAAAATCTTAAAAATTATATGTATATAAGATGAAATAATATTTTTATGTAAAATTATATTTTTGAAATGTATTTTTTGTGTGTTTTTGTAATATTTTGGAAGATATATATATATATATATTTTTTTTAGAAATGAAAATAAGTTATAGATTGAAAAAATAATGTATTAATATTTTTGAAATCCTTTCTACATTAAATAAAAAATTTGTGAATAAAAAACATATGTAAGACTATAACTTTTTATTTAAAATTTGTGGAGTTTGAAATTATAGTTTTAAAAGAGTTATATGTTTATTAGATTAATTGTAATATGTTTTAAATTATAGTTTAAAAAAAGTTATTGTTTAAGAAATAAAAAATATATGTGTAATGTAATTTATTAATATGAATTTAAATCTTTGTAAGAATTTAAGAATTGATATGTTATACAATAAGATATGAGAACATTGATAAAGAATTGAATAATGTATAATTATAACTGAATAGGAAATATATTTATTGAATGAAAGTTATTACACCTAAGATAGTTTACATTTCACCTCCTCTTATATGTTGAATCCAAGGGTTAAGTTGTTCCCTTAATTTATACACATGTGGTAGACGTGTATATCTTGTTTCAATGAACAGTTTGATGTACTACCACGTGTCTGTACGATACACAGAAAAGTCCATACGTTGAACTTTTTTCCAGCGGTTGATCATTTGTGCAATATCATTATTTGATTTAATTTCAATCGTGTCATGTATAAGTATGTTATTAACTACCCTGACGTGACGAAGGTAGCCAATTTTTGATACTATGGAACAATTCCCACAACGTATTCTCTGGGTTATTTTTTGTACAAGCTCATCAAAATTGAAATTGTGGGGGATTGACATGATCAGAGTAGCGTCTGATCTAAAACATAGCCTGTAACCATATGGACTATCTTTTATGGCTGCCTGTTTTGGAAGTCCTCCATAGTATAGCTTTATTGGTGAACGCGGGAAAGGGTTTGAGTTTGTGGAAGAGGAAGAGGGATTTGGTTATAGAAGACCAAGTATTTCTTCAACCGACCTTGTGAAGGTAACAAGCAATTTCATTATTGTGTTAATGGGTGAATTAGAATTACAATTAATCATTTCTGCAACGTCAGCATCAGTTGATATTTGACGAGCATCATACACAATGACTCCTTCTTCATTACATGTGGGTCTTCGGAAGTAGAGTTTGTTAATGGCTGTGGTGGGTGGAAGTTCTAGAGTTGATGACACTTTCTGGTTCAAAAGGTTGAATGTACAGTTGTAAGGAATGCAAAAGAGCTTTAGAGTTTCACATTGGTACTGCACACCATCGTCAGATTGAATGATTTCTCCATTTGAAAACAAGGCTGCAAGGTAGGAATTTGAATAATTTCTTGGTCGTTGATGCTAAAGTTCTCCATCTGAGAGAAATGAATGTGTTTATCCGTGCAGGGTGGTGGTTGTAGTGGGTGGGTTTATTATGCAATAGAAGAGTAGGATAGGTTGAATCTAGAGTATTGGTATTTATAGGAAAAATAAATTTGGGTGTTGGTATGAATTGAAATTAGGAGGACTCCATCCATCAGCTTTAAGTGTAGTATAAGTTCATATCTCCCTAGGCACGCTTACTAAATAGAGGTGATAAGTCTTGTGTTAGTGGCATGGTACATGTGAGGGCATTGATTAAGAGATTGAATGAGTCAATGCATGCTAATAGTCATCATCTTTTGCAGTAGGAATAATTTATATCTCCCTCATAGGCATACTTACCAAATAAAGTTGATATGTCTTGTCTTAGTGACATGGTGCATGTGAAGGCATTGATTGAGAGAGTAAATGAGTCAATGCACAGTAATAGTCATCAGCTTTTGCAGTAGGAATAATTCATATCTCCCTTGGCATGACTACCCAATAAAGTTGATAGGTATTGTCTTAGTAGCTTGGTGCATGTAAGAGCATTGATTGAGAGAACGAATGAGTCAATGCATAGTAATAGTTTATTGAATATATAAGTTATTAAGATAATAATTTAATTGAATGTGTAAGTTATTAAGATAATAATTTATTGTATTTGTAAATTATTAAGATACGAATTTTTTGAATTTGTAGGTTTTTTATTCATCATTTACAAAGTTTATATTACAAACCCAACATAAGGTAGCTAAATAACAAAAATTCAAACACTAAAACTAAATGTTTGTTATTTAATCCTCATAATGGTGTCTAGTTCCACATTGGGGTTGCCTTCTGTTCCTAGTTGGGTTCCTCTTTCCCTGGGGCGATCTAGGTGTTTCTTCCTCTGAAGGTTGGGCTTCATGATGTTCTGCATCTTCATGACCTTGATATGCATCAGAGGATGATACCGTTTCATTATGATATTGAACATTATAAGGGGATTGTTGATAAGGTCCTTCAAAACCTTGTGCCGAAGATGGAGTTAGGGCATACGCTCCAAAAAAGCTTGGCATTCCTAAATTAGAGAAGGAAGAAATTGAATATCTTCTTGCATCCATAGTTTCTTATGCTTCTGGAGTGTTGTAATTGTGCTCAATGTCATCATGTTGAGGAGGTTGTGCATGTGCTGAAGTTGATGCCCGATGCATCCTCGGGTCATGTAACATTTGTGGAACGAACAAAAACAAAAATGAGTTTGCCACAAACCACGACATGTACTCATTACTGTGGAAAATTGGCCCTAAAAGTGGTAATCCAGTCAATGTCAGATCATGTATGTTCTTCCATATGTTTATCCATTCCGCATGTCCAGTAGCCCAATTCTCATCTTGTCTCCCCCTCATGTCTACTTTATGTAGATCATCAAGGTTGTTGGGTGAGTCAGGAACATCTTGTACCAGATAAAATTGTAACTTCACCATGTCTGAATGGTGTCATTCAACAATTGAAAAACAAAGTAAATTTGTGCAAGAGGTCCAAAATGCTTGGTCCCTATATGCTTCAGCAAGAATGACTGACTTCAATCCCTCATACGGAACCCATATAAATTATGTCACCAATACTAAAGTGAGAAACTTAGTAAATTATGAACATTAAAATGTGAAGTTAAAAATAGAAGTGAACCTGGTTAGGTTCAATGTGATCTATCCTTGATCAATAGCCAAATAAATCATTGTGGGAGATATTTTGATAGTTCAGTACACGATCCCCGCTCCATCGGCATACAAGGGAGAACGTCAATTGAGTATGTGAAATTGGTGCAATAAAGGGCATACGAAACCATGCCCAGGACTGTAATAACGATGCACATCCACTCATGGTCTTCACACGCCGATTTGTTGCTCTACACATCTCCCTATACAATACAACTAAACAAGTAGAACCCTAACTATATCATCGAGTTCTGCGAAGATTACTTAAAAATTTCAAGTACATTAAGTATACCTTATTACCAGTTTTATCAAGCATTAAAATCCCTCCAATCAATCCTAATATATATGCCCTTGCACAAACATGTATTTTCTCTATATTTGATTCCTCTTGTAGTGAGACCATATTTTCCTTAAGCCACTTTAACTTCACCATAAACCCTATAAGGGACTCCCCTTTTTTAGGGATAATACCTAATAACATATGATACATGTCCTCCCAATCAAACATCGTTGGTCCAATCATAAGTGTACCATCAATTCTAAGTCCCAATTGAAGTGAAACATCTTGCAATGTTATTGTGCATTCTACTGTTAGCAGATAAAAAATATGTATCTCAAGCCTCCACCTCTCCACCAAAGATATAACTAAATCATGATCTACCTTTAAATGACTTAATTTAGCAACACTGTCGAACCCAACTTCTTCTATTACGGGAAGAAGAAGAAGATGTGGTTCCGGCATGGAATGACAGTACGACGACACAATACTTTGTTCTGCGTCCTATATAGCCAAAAATAACATTGTTTAATGAGAAAAAAATAACTTGAACAACAATAACAATAGAACTAGCATACCATCAAAGCAGTGTAGACAACTTTGTGTTCTTGTTGTCTCCACAACAACATTTTGTTAACCTTCTTTCTTCAATCTGGACTAACACTCTTGCAAAAATTGTAGTATATGATTATGATGACCGTAAGTGTGGTTATTGAACTTCACCTTTCAAAATATATAGACTAAAAGCTTGCACGTTTAATAAAAATTTGTCGGACAACGTGCAATGTGGATCTAAATCCTGTGCGTTAATCTCCATAAATTCAATTTGAAACCTCCGATTAAAGTTGATGTACTTTGTGACAAGGACTAAAACATGCATGCGTTATTGATGGTGGTTAAACCTCATGCACTGTGGGCTATCTTTGATGGTTGTCCATGAGAGTAGGGTACATGTGAGAGCATTGATTGAGATAGTGAATGAGTCAATGCATGATAATAGTCATCAGCTTTGGGGAGTTATGGTATGACACAATACCATTATTTATAATGTCATAATGGGCAGTGTACATTTTTTTTAGCTAACAGCTGCGATTGAAAGCACAAAAATTGAATGCACAGGATTTAGATCCACTACATAAGGCATACTACTCAGCTATAATGACACGACCATGCTTTAATAAAACCCTGTCATACCTCGTGCAGTGTGGATTTAAATCATGTGCGTTCATCTTCACAAATTTAATTTCAACCCTCAGATTAAAGTTGGAATACTTTGTCACATGGACTAAAGTCTCAACATCGTTCATGGTGGTCATACCTCATGTAGTGTGGATCTAAATCATGTACGTTCATCTCCACAGATTCATTCTTAGCCATTAGATTTTGTATATGGAATTATCATTGTTGTTGGCACAAGTGAACAATTGTCCTATAAATAGAGCAACTTATAGGTTTTCGACCAATCAACTCAGTGACAAGGTACTGCAACCAACAATGACATCTACAACTTTCACAATGTTGGTGTACTTCAACGACACCATCTTAACGGAAGAAAACTACTCTGAAATATACATTAGCTCTCAAACGGCTTGAGTGACCATAACAAACACAATGACTATGGTCGAAGTGAAGCAAACTATTCTCAACCACTTCAACATGTCAACAGTAAATGAATATGAAGTCAACTTACAATACAGGTTACCAATTTTCATATTTGTCACCACTGCACATTATAGATCATGTAAGATATTTGTAGATGACGATGTCGAGACATTATTTTTAATGGCAACAGAATAGACTACAGAAGTTCATGTTGAGATCATGACATTTATTACAAAAATGCACCAAAGTGCAACCCCGTCTGAAGTTTATTATGATTTGACTAATAACTTCAACTAGTCATTAAACTTAGATTGATGATCATGTATCTTGATTTCTGAAAATTCCATGAACCTTATGTTATCACTCTTCTTGTCATGTGTAACAAGTATTTCAATCCATCCAATATTATCATTTATGTTTATCATTGTATAAAAAAAATCGTATTAACATGATGACATAAAGTTATGTGTAAGTCAAATGATCACATAAGGAGATATTCAGGTCACATGATGACATAAGGTGTGGTGCTAGTCACATGATCACGTTGGTTAATGTGCAGGTCACATGATCACGTTGGTTAATGTGCAGGTCACATGATCACCTAACTTTTGGCTATAAAAGAGGGACTTTACCATAAATTTCAAACCATAATTATTCAAAACTTTTCTTTATTACCACTCATGAGAATCTTATTCCTCCTCAAATGGCACCAAAGATGTTTGCATGCATCTATGATAATGGTGACATGATTCCTAACCCAGAAAATTATGTTTTGTTCAAGTTTGACACCTGTATCATGGTTCAACTTCATAGATGTTTCATATTTTCACAATTAATAGAGATAGTATTACAATGGGCGAAGAGAGATCCAACCAATCCACCTTCAATCCTCCATTTCAGATTTCCAATACAAATTTGTGGCAGACATGTGACTTATTACACAACAACAAAGATTGAAGATAATAACAACTTGGATGGAGCCATGGACATCACAGAGGTCAACCCAACTTTGAGATCCTTAGAAATTTGCACGACTTACAACACAAGTATTTCATCTTCTCAGCCCAATTATTTTAATCATTCTCATGAACATCAACAACCATTACAAACCCAACCCACACATCAATCATTTGACCTTAACGCCACATTAATAGGAGAATGGGAAAATGACATGCAATCATACACCCAACTTTTGACCGGTCCATTGACCTCACAATTTCTTCCATCTCCTACATATGTTAACACACAACAGTTCTCCTCTCTTTTACAAGAAAACAAAACATTAGACATACATTTGTCGTCATTAGACCCATTTAGTGAGGATGAGTATGACATCCTTAGCCAATACACAAATGATGAAGAAGAAAGCATAAATATCCCTCCTATATAACAATAACCTCATTTATCTCTTCAATACAACCCGCCCCGATACTTCCAGTCCTATGAAGATTTTTTCCAACATGTAGACCAACAACATCCTCATGCATAAAACCACTTTAATATTCAACATGACACATTTGAGCATGAACCTAGTACATTAACCCAGGGAATGAGGTTCCAAACAAAGGAACAAGTCATAGATGCTTTAAACACATTTTATATCACAAACTATTGCACATACAAAACAACTCAACAAGGTTGAGGGTGCAATGTGTCCACCATCAATGTCTGTGGAAGTGTCAAGTCATCCTTCGAACAAGAGATCAAGTATAGGAAATAAGAAAAATCGAAAGGTCTTACACCTGTAGTACACAACTCATTACACAAGATCATAACAGGTTGGAGTCACTATCATTTCCCAACATATTCGTCAAATGGTCGAATCTGACCCATCAACACCAATTGCAACAATCATTACTTCCATCAAGACTTCACTAGGCTACACAACAACGTATAGAAAGACTTGGTTGGCCAAACAACAAGCAATTGAACATGTGTACGGAAATTGGGAAGAATCATTCAACAAATTATCACGAGTACTACAAGCAATGCAAACATTTCTTCCTGGTTTTGTATACCAACTCAAAACTCAAGTCATAACTGATAGCGGGGAGGTCTTGCAAAACGAAAAATATTTCAAAAGTGTATTTTAGACCTTTAAACCATGTGTTGATGGATTTCCCTATTGCAAACCGTTAGTGCAAGTGGACGGAATCTTTCTCTACGGGAGATATAGGGTCACTTTTCTAGTGGCTGTAACACAAGATGGGAGGAACAACATATTCCTTATTGATTTTGCTATTGTTGAAGGTGAAACGACAAAAACTTGTTTTTTTTTTCCTTAAAAACCTTAGGAGGCATGTTACACCTCAAGAAAACCTGTGCTTAATTTTGGATCGCCATAACTTCATCAATGCAACATTCAATAGACTGGGAAGTGGATGAACTCAAGGAAATTGTGTGCATGTGTTTTGCATTCGACACATTGCATAAAATTTCACTCGAAGATTAAAAAATACAACTCTAAAGAAAGACCTTGTGAACATGGGTAAGTACTTAAAATTCTAAAATTGTATTCAATTATGTG